AAGAGCTGTCCCTTAAGGAGATAAGAGGGAGGGCTTGTAGAGAAAGGGCCTTTTTGGCAGCTGCCCCCGACTGAGATTCGTCTGGCGAATAAATAAATAAATAAAATAAATAAATAAGTGCTTGGCTGGAGAGCAAATCCAAAACCCAAGAAAATACCACCCAGTACTCCATTAGTATCAATTCAGTCTATAAGAATGAATGAAGAATATGGAATTCTCATGGGTGGCTGACACTTTAGGTAGTTATGCCAATGCTTTTCAGTTTCACCATTGTGTCTGAAGTCATGGAGAGGCACTGCAGTAGCCCTGCCCACTCACCTCACTCTCAATCTGCTGCTTTAGAACCATCTGCTGCTCTTTGTGCTGATTGGCTCGGCTGACTTGTTCTTCAATGCTTGACAGGACAACCTCACAACCCTGACACCTGTACAGGACAGGCAGAAGATCAGAGGCCACACAGAAGCTACACAGACAAACATTGAATAAGAGACTCCCCCTCCCCATAAGCATCTGGGCTTGGGAGACTGGGGAAAAAAACAACTCATCCAAATAGGAGAATACAAATGATATATTCTCAAAAGATTAATAACAAAGGGAGAAGCCAACCTGGTAGGCCTGAAACTGTTTATGCAACAACCAAGCCCTATGAGGAAAGACTGGACAGGTTTAGCCCTGAAGACACATGATAGCACTCTTTGAATACTTGAAAGGCTGTCATACAGAGGAGTGGCAGGATCTGTTCTGAATCATTCCAGAGCAGGATATATAATAAGCAGTTCACATTGCAAGAAGCCAGATTTTGGCTAAATAACAAGAAAAGCTTCCTAACTGTTAGAGCAGTATAACAATGGAACCAATTACCTCAGGAGATGGAGGCACTCAAGAGAAAGTTAGACAGCGATCTGTCAGATATATTTTAACTTGGATTCCTGTACTGAGCAGTGGCTTATACCTGATGGCCTTATATGCCCCTTCCAACTCCACTGTTCCATAAATCTATGGACAGGTACAGGATTAAACAAAAAACTTAAAGTCACATACATGTACTACAAAAAGCATTGTCCTAAGGTTTGGTCCAAACTGCACATATTCCACAAGTCTATAAAGATGCACAGAAAGTATAATACACAGCTGTGGAATTTAGTCTTCTGAAAATCTCTTATCTCTTATTTCACTTATTAAAAGAAAAAGACACTAAAATATTTCTAGCTCTTATGCAAAGACAGCAAGAATCTTACTGCCAATTTATGCTTGAATAAAAGAACTTGCATAAGTATTAGTGGTTGTCATTCATAATTCAGGTGCTGTTCACATCACTGGCTGTGCATGCAACTGCATGATTGGGCATGTGCCCAGTGCATGCAACCAGCACCAAATTAATAGTGGCAATTTGCTGGAAGACTTATACAATTTTCTTTACACAAACAAGAATCAGCAACAGGTTTCTGGCCAATCTGTTTAAAAGTGTATGGACACTTGTCTGTGAAACCAAAGAAGCAGAGAGAAAAGAGTTTGAAGAAGTAAGAGGAGGAGTGCTTTTCTCTGTCCCTCTCCAGGGTACACAACAACAAAAGTGAATCATGCTAAATAAAAAAAATTAAAATCTGCATTATTATTATGCTTTTGTCTTTCTTGCAAAACATATGCAGAGTACACCATTCAATCTTCTGTTGGACAGCATTCAAGTTTCTTTAGTGGAAACTAAGTGACTATATGTTAGTTAACTTTTTTATACAGCTAGCAGAGGAGGATTTGCAGGGACTATAGAAGTTGACAAAGGGTCACTGTTTTTAGTATTGGCCTCATATATACTTCTTCCCAAGGGCGGTGGGGGGGAGGAACCAGACACAACATGTAGTATGGGTGGGCATTTGTGGGGTATCTATCTTTGCTCTTCTTGAGATACGCTCCCCATCAGGTTGTGCAAGCTCAGAGAGACTTCCTTACCATTCCTGAAGGGTACGGGTGATGGTGCTGAGCTCCTCCCTGCGGATGTCCCGCCCAATGCTGTAATCCACCTCTAGCCGCTGATTTCGTTGATCTAGGCTCCCCCGCAAGACGTCTGCATAGACTGCCTCTATCACTAAGTCCTCTAACTGGCGCACATTCTTCAGCTGGAGTTGCTCCAGTAACACTGAGTAGGGGATGCACTGGGGAGGGGGAGACACACAACAAAGTGTGAGGTGCAGCCTCTAGCAGAGTTGGAAGGAAAGGCAATACAAGGAAGTTACACACTACCTTCAGCTTGGAAGCCAGCGTGACAACAGACAGATGGCGCAGTTTGTTCTTCTGAGCCTCCGTTAAGGGAGGCAGGTTCCCAGCTTCTGCTGCTCTCAGGAGACAGAAAGGATAAGCATCACAGAAGTTAGATGCCCTCAAATTGCCAGTAGCATCTTTGATCAAGTCCCACCCTCTCCGTCCTGCTTAAGCTTTCTTTCAAATTTTGCACATCCTAATTACATGTCAATCTCAGCCAACTGCTATGGTTGCTTCTCTTCTTCAAAGTTTTACCAACTAACTGAAATTTACATAAGTAGAACAAACATACCTAGAGTAATTTATTCAAGCATCCAGTAATCCTACACAATCCCTTCTCTCTTTTTGAGGTCTAGATCCTGAAAGTAGAAAAGCCAAACAACCAGGCCAGCAAGCCATAAATAAATGTAGATTCTCCTTTTGCAACCCCCCCAGTCCAAAGAAGCTCTCAATGTTGTTACTACTGTTCAGCCAGCGACAACTATGCAGCACACACACTATTTAAAATGAATAATAAAATGCCATGCTTTGAGACAACAAATGAGGGGAAGATATAGAGAACTGAGCCAGAAGATAACTCTAAAAATCAAAAGCTATTAGATAAACTTCAGAGTACTGTGATACCCAGGACATCACCCCCTCAACCTTAGCTCTGTTGTAATCTGTAGGATTTTTAACTCTTGCCTCTCTGCATTTTTTTGTTATAAAGAAAGCTGTTTTCCCACATCTACAACCGATTTCCAAATTTAGGAAGCTTTTAAAGCATTATATCTAGTTCCTGCTTGATTGGCTCTATCCTTACGTACTTTTCTGTATCCTCCCTCACTACTAGCATTTTCTCCTTTGACTATTCTTGTTTTTGTGAGGGTAAGAGGAAACATACCCAGGTAATCTGAATACGTCCCATAGGCAAAGACTGTGAGCAGGCGGAAGACAGGGGAGAACTCGCTGTCAGCTAGCTGTAGAGAAGGGTGGAAAATACCAACAATCAGTACAAACACAAGATAAATGGAAAAAGTTTTCACTGCTCACAAAATGTTATCCATCTATTCCACACCCATTAGTCCTACAATTTTTGTTTTGCTACTAATGAATCTGAACTTAGCTCTCGTAGGCTAAGTTCTCAAAAGCATTATGAATGCTGTAGGCCTATTCAGTGAACTATGTCTATACTTCAGATAGACAGGAACTGAAGTCTTACTTTCAGTGAAGCAAGAGAAGAAAACCACCTTTGTCTGGGATATCCAATAAAAGTGGGAGGATAGATGGTGGAGTACTCCTGCATATATTTTTTAAAAATCTCTGTAAATAGAAAACTAGAAGACAGAGAGGTGTATTTTTGTCTCACCTTCTCTGGACAGCTGTTTTCTATGCACAGAATTTTATGTTTTAAGGAGAAATAGACAGTAATTTCTGCCCCCAGCTGCAGTCCAGAATGGCATAAGGTAGAGAGAAATACTACTCACTTTGAGAACAAAGCCACATATGTAAACCACACATGGCTCATGACTTTCTCCGGTGTAATGCTCTTGTAGGAGGCATGTATTTTACATATATCCCAAGATGCACCATTTTGTACCTCCCCCTCCCCCAAAACCAAACAAACCAGAATTCCTGCTTGGTCCTGAAACTTACTGCAGTGACCTTGGGCCAATCACTGTCAGTTCATCTACCCCACCTCACAGTGCTGTTTTAAAGACAAAGAAGTGAAAAATCCTATCCACCAGTTTTAGCCACTTGGAGGAAGAATGTGATAAAAGTATAATCAATAATGACCAGCTTCACATACAGTGTTGAAACAACATGGAAAGGGATTGCCACTCTCGAATTGGCCTCCTCAGCCACACTAGACGCTGTTCCAAGTCCTCCATGCAGAGCACATTACTATAGTCTCTCAAGACTGAAGGATGCCTAACTAATGACCTGTCTTGATTTTTAAGGTAAAATGCAGGAAAATAATTTTTACTTCCTAGCACTATGCCAAGACCTTATTCTGCTATCTATTATATAAAGACAAGATATTTTACTACTGTCACCACCTGCAGTTTGGAAGAGACATATATAGCGGATAACAGTGGATATCTGCTGTGCATGATCTAAGCAGAGGCAAAGATTCTGGGGAACATTCAGGGATGTATATAGACAGACACAGGATCATATGGAGCCTGTTGTATAACTCAGACTAACGTCAAGCCTGGAACACAGATTCATTTTATTTTATTTATTTTTATTTATTTAATTTATATGCCGCCCACGCTACCCAAAGGTCTCTGGGCCTTTGCCTATTGGGAGAAAACTTGAGGGAAGCCAGTCTACCATTAGCAATGACTCAAAAACCTATCTCCCCAAAACACACTTTAAAAACTACTGACATGGCATATTTTATTCAATGATTATGAGGCAAGACTCCTAAACCTCTTCCAAGAATGCTACACACAAGGAGGTAACAGGATGCCATGGGATACCTACTGAAGGCAGTAATCTCAATTTAGAAAGAAGAAACATTTGTTGGGTTGGTGGTAGTGGAAATCACTTTTGATATAGGACAAAACTGAGTCTCGTGGTATTAGGAGGGGCAAGGTTTGTTTGCTAGTTATGTTGTAAACTGCCCAGAGAGTGCTTTAGCACTATGAGGTGGTATAAGCTGAAACAACAGTGAGTGAGTTGTAGATCAAAGGCAGTGCTAAGAAAGGCTGCCTCTCAGAACTGAAACACCACTAAACAGAGACATGGGGGGTCCTACTACTGAACACAGGGAAAGCCCCTGAATCTCCCAGCTACCCACTTGGGGCAGTGCATTTAGGCTGCCATTTCCCAGGTCTCGCGCCTCACCTCTCGAACATTGGGCATGTCAAGCAGCTCTCCAAAAACATAAATGCCGGGGGCCTCCAGTACTTGATGGATGAGACTGGCCAGGGCAGCTCCTCGGGCAGATTTTGCCAGCAGCAGGAACTGCTCCTGGTTCTGCCCAGTCACTTTCACCTCAGCTGCCATGGAGTCACCAAATGGATCCGCTCCAGGGCCAGGCGGCAGCCC